GGAGACGTCAGCTCAACTCATATCATTGTGGGAAAATTCTGTTACCCGTCCTTCATCACCTTAGACCGAAATAGGGTGAAAACATCTCAAATTAATATTTACAGCTCAATTATAAAACCCATTGACAGCAGTCCGGTTAAAGGAGATACGTTTCATCAGGATCCCACCTTCACATGCAGGAATATGGTCCTTCATGGTCATCCGAAATCGGTTTGTTCTCAAAATTCCACCCTCCTTCGGCTGAAGCGTCAACTCAGCCCACATCTCTTAGGATGGATAAAAAAGAGCATCAGTCAAGCGTAGGTCAAGTGGAGACGAAGGAGTTGGTTGCGAAATGATTCGAGAGCGAAAAATGCCGAGCGTCAAACAACATTTGCTGAGCGACAAAGCCGTCTGGATAATAAAGAGAGATGCTGAACAAGCCATTCTAGCAATGAATTATGATACACAGAACAATAAATCATAAAGCTGCACTTCGGCGTTTTTCTTCAGCTTATCTACAGCCCACGTCTTAGGCAACGCGAATTGATGCATGGGATTTGCCAGCATTTAAAATCAATAACTAAATGTGAATGAGCAAGTCTGCCGATGTTATGCTCAAAGTAGGCGGGGGCGAATAAAGGAGATGAGCCCTTTATACTTTACTTCAAGCAATCCTCACTTTAATAGATACCGTCTCCAGTTTGGGATTTCCCAATTCTCTTCTTTTGTTATCACTTGATGCTCAGTCTCGAACAGTTGTTTTATAATCACTCTATGGCCAAACAGCTCATCCCAACTCGACTATAAAACATTGCATTACGGTACTCAATCATGCTATGACTGAATTTTTATGCGAGCTGATAATTCATTAAGACAAAATGAGTAGAACGGACATGCCGCGGCACCTCTACTTTCGCACCTGTCCACAGCTTTCATTCATTCAATCAATTAATAATGCAATCTCTCTTTTTGAGTTAGTTACTTACATTTTTAGACGATCGGTCACAATTTTAAGCATGATTCTTCAAGAAGATACTATCTCAGCAAGACATGCTGACAGGTGAGTTATATCGTGAGTATGGATTAGTGCAAATTACGAGGAAAAAAATTAGCACTGTTCTAAAAATTCATATATTATATCTTTTTAAGGTGAAATTAAAACTCTGTATGCGTCTTCCTTACTGAGATGCCATGCCTGATAAAGCCATTTTACCAACGTGTTGCCGATTCATTTGTTCATATGAAAAGGACGGAGGGATGGTGGTACTTTTTACTCTTTAAGAATAGTTGGCCAGCTTGGCTGCTGTCCAAAGTATCATAAACATGGACATTGTAATGTACATAAATATTGTTGATAAGCTGACTGAGAAAAGAGGCTTTATTTCTACATGGCATAATTAGGAACATTAACAGGAAGATAAAAAATGTTGGCCCTTGCTGCTACATTCATTTGGAAACACAGCAAATTCACGACCGAAAACTGGATGTTTTCGGAAGAGGAAAATAGTAAGTGGTCTTGGCAGCCAGGTCGAGAGGTATCATGACGATTTAGTAAGACGCACCTTTGCGAAAACAAGAACAAACCACTTCCACATAATGAAAGGAGACTGACACCAAAGCCGATGCCGCAGCTTCTGGTATTCATGTCAAAAAAATAGTAAGTTTTGTAATTTTCCATATTTGAGGCATTTCAGCTACTGAAATCCCTTATATTTAAAGTCAGTAGATACGGAGTAAGAACTGTCACCCTTTATCGCGCTGGTGGTGAAGGACAGATAGTTGACTTTTGCCACATTTACGTGATTTGGTCGCATGATGCCATTACAATTTGCATAGTTTTAATATCCAAAATACTTTTTTGGCGGGCGAATAAATTTCTCACTCTACCTTAGACATCATGCGGCATAAGGTTACCACAGCTCTTATTTGAAATCTCCCTGTTTGAAAAATAATAATCTTTATATTTACTTCCATGAGTACACTTGAACAACTAGCATGCATTACATGGCGGTAGTATTGAATACAAATGAATTGTTCGTTTAAATGTTTTAATAATCAGTCTTCCTGGGCCCTTACCATCCGTTCAGCTACTGGATGA